ATACTGAAAGAGCACTTAGAATAGGTATATCGGAAAATTAATTCAAGACTAAGTTAGAAGTTAGAAGTTATAAAGGAGATAAAATCTTTGGTATCAGTCATGTTCGACTTAAAATTGCATGCCACCCCTCCCCCCCCCCCGCCCCTTACCCGGTAAAAAAAAAACCTTCTTATAATATCATCCCCCTTTCTTTCTTTTCCCTTCTTATTATTCTCCTTTTCCCCCTTTTCTCTCCTCCGTCTTTCCGCCTAATTTCTTCTTTTTCCGCCTTTTCTCTCCTCTATCTTTCCCTTTCCCCTCCTTTTTCTCCTCTTTTCTTCTTCTTTCTCTCTTCCCTTTTTTTCTTTTCCCTCTCCTTTTTCTTTCCCCCTCCTTTTTCTCCTTTTCTTTTTTTTTTGGCCGGGGGGGGGGGGGGGGGGGCACGTGCCCCCTGTGCCCCCCCCCCCCCTGGATCCGTCACTGACAATGAGCTTATATTAAAACCGATGCTTGGCCCTTAGCCAATGACAGACAAGCCCACCCCTTTTTTACGTATTTCACCTGACCTACTGGTAACTTTTGCATTTAACTTATATTTTATAACCTACAATATTTCAATAATTCAATGGTAGGTCACCTATGTTTATTGCTAATACACCTGGGCCCGTATTCAATAAACTTCTAAGACATTTTTCTTTAATCCAAGAAATTTCTAAGAATTTGTCTAGGTTAAGAAAGTTGCCTCAGCCGTACTCAAAACACGTAAAGCAGTTTGTCTTAGCTAAGACGACAGATAAGACTCTTAGGCCCGATGACGTCATGTCGGAAAGTTAAAGTGGTCGACTCGAGCGAATTTTGCAACTCAATTTGCCTATGTAATTTGCGTGTTCAAATAAAAATCGCACCGCACAAAAATTATACACTAACATGTATGGGAGATAGAGCGTAAGGGAGGAACGATGCTCACATTATTGTTTCGGGTTTGACCAACTGACACTAAAACATTCTAGTCCAGACCCCTTGAGGCTAGATCTAACATCCACTGTAGGCTTTTCTGTCAAACATCTTCGAAGAGCCCAACCGGGCTTTCTTATGTCGCAGCCCAGGGTCTGTGAGTATGAAGGGAGCGCCGTCGCTAGCCGGCCGACCAGCGCTAGCATTGGATTTGGTGCTACCCTTTGTTTCACATCGTCTACTGCTATGCTAGCCTAAAATTAATCAAATGGCTAAATGTAACCTTTATCAAACAAATTTTGTCTTACCTAATATTATGCCGATTGCACATTATTCCCTGTTTCCATGTTTTAGTGCCAAAGACTAATAAAGTAAGAGACGGTTACTTATACGACAGCCTTGTCATAATTTAGTGTTAAGTAGATGCTACGCTAGTACTCGTTTATGCTATGGTCACATTACCCAAAAGTTGCCTGCTCGGCGGCCGAGCGGCGAGTTTTTAACCAATTCTGCCCGGCGGCTGCTCGGCCACCGAGCGGCGGCCGCCCAGGCATCGCTCGTTTTTAGGGCATCGCTCGGTCGCCGCTGAAGTTTTAGCGCGGAGTTAAAATTTGGGCGGCGCCTGCTCACTTTTCACTCGCCGCCCAAAATACGCTCGGTGCCTGGGCGGTCGCCGGCCGGCACCGACCTAATTGCTGGGCGATGCCTAAATTCCAGCAGCGACCGAGCAGGCTACTGATCGGTCGGTCGCTGCTCAGATTTGTGACCATAGCTTTAGTTTACGTTAATTGTACAAACAAACGTAAACAAGTACAGTGCCTATGGCGCTCCTGCGCGCTGCGCCGTGCCGTCGACGCTGTTATATCATCGAAATATACGTGAAGCTTACGTTGATATATAGGTCAACTGATAACCTGCGCGCTCGCGCTGCGTTTGATCGAAACCCGAAGCGGTTGCTTGCAGCAGCACTGAGCTGCCGGTGCCAAAGCCCTATTTAAGCATCCTCGTAGTATATGCTTAAATATAGGGTAGATTTCTTACTTATCTTAGATATCTTGATTGTATTAGAATACGACATGCTATTTAAGCCCTTTTTCTTAGATAAAATCTAAGAATTCTTCTTAATCTTAAGGCAAATTTCTTAGTCCCCAGCAGTGGCGGATCCAGGGGGGCCCGGGCCCCCCCCCCCCCCCTGGGAAAAAAAAGGGAAAAAAAAGGAGGGAAAAAAAAGAGGAGGAAAAAGAAGGAAAAAAGAAAGAGAGAGAGAAGGAAAAAAAGGGAAAGAGGAGAGAAAGGGAAAGAAAGAAGAGGAAGAAGAAAAGAAAAGGGGGGAAGAAGTGATCGGGGGGGGGGGGGGGAAGCCTCGCCTCCTCCCTCCCCCAATCAAAAAAATAAAAGAGAAGGAAGAAAATAGAAAGAAGGGGGTATCAGTTGCAATTTTTTCGCCAACAATTTGTGGATCGGGATGGGGGCCGAAATGACCTTGCCTCCCCCCCCCCCCCCCCCCATCAAACCTTAAAGAGAGAAGGAAGGGAAGGGAAAGGGAAAGAGGAGAGAAAGGGAAAGAAAAAAGAGAAATAAGAAAGGTAGGGAGATCAGTTCAGTTGCGATTTTTCCGCCATCAAAGTGTAGATGGGGGGGGGGGCGGGGCACTGGCATATTGATCAGGGAGGGGGCTCGGGGGAAATAAAATTTTAACGTGGTTAATTTCTAATTCCATAACGGTGGTGTACACATAATGCTGGAATGACATAATTTCCGAGATTTTTCCTCATTCTTTAGTAAATTATACTTTTTTATGCGTCTGTAAATTAACAGCCAGGCAAGAAATATGCTTCTTGAGATATGCCTACATGTCAGGGCCCGCGGAACGAAGGGGATCGGTAGCCTCCAGCCCCCCCCCCCCCCCCTCATTTTTTTTGGAAAAGCATTTTAAAGAGAAAGAGAAAGAAAGAATAGTTAACTACCAGTGTCACAACAAATTAAGGTATCAAAAATTGCTCATCTGACCGTTATTAAACGCCTAAAACCCCTGAGCTTCAGGGGGCTCTGCCCCCGGTACCAAACCAAGGGCCCTTGGGCAGGCCCCTTGATACTCATCTGACCGCAATTTAGTGCCTAAAACCCTTGATCTTCTGGGGGCTACGCCCACTGGACCTCACGCCAATCAGTGTTCTGCTAGTGTCACAAATAAAGTATAAAAATATGTTCATCTGACCGTAATCAAATGCCTAAAAACTGAAATCAGACGAGGATTAAGAGTAAAAAACGGTACAACGAATCGTCTTCTTTCTCTAATGATTTAATGAAACGTAAAAGCTTCCGCGCTTCGCGCGGGAGGGGGAAAACTGCATTCAGACGAGCAGGCGCGTACGCAGGAGGGGGGGGGGGGGGGAGGGGTTGGGGGTTGAACCCCCCATTCGGTTTTTTTTTATGCGTATATCTTGGAGCAAAACCCCCCCCCCCCTTTGTGATGTTTTTTTGTTTTTTTTATTAGAAAAAAGTTATGCCAATGGCTGACCTAAAAAAGGTGACCTCACCCCCCCCCCCCCCCAACGGAACAAAATGTCGAATTTCAAATATCGAGACCAAAAAACACAAAAATATGTCCTCTTAACCCCCCCCCCCCCCCCCCCCCCACGCTTATTCAGCGGCTGGCTGAAGTCGTTGCGATTTTTTTTGGAACCAATAAAAAAAGTGGGCCCCCCCCCCCAAAGAAATCCTGGATCCGCGCCTGGTCCCCAATGCTGTTATAGAATACCACTTTTGGCTAAGATTTTTTCTTAGCCAAAATTTAAGAAAAAGTACTTAGATTTCATGCTTAAGAAGTTTATTGAATACGGGCCCTGGCAAGCAGTCGAACAGATCTATAATTGTCAAAACTGACCAATCAATTATATAAGTTCATAAAAAAAAAAAATTTAAAAAATTTAAAAAAAATTATATAAGTTCATAAGTTACTTTTCCGATCTGGCCTATATGGAAATGAAGATTTTGGAAAAAAGGTCTTTTTTGTCAATTTAACGAAAATCTGACAAGATCGTTTGTCTTGTTAAAATTCGTAACATAAAAAATATCATAAAACTTAAATGTAAAATACTTCGAATTTAAAAGTATATAACGATTCTGATTCGTATCAGTGATACGAAATTTCGAATCATAACTTCTAAATCATTGATGATAGAAAGTGTTTTGTTTCGTGTTTTTATCCTACAGGACTTTTAAACATTTTAACCAAAATACTCTGTAGATAAACTTTGTATATTATCACAAAATATATGCACTCTTCTATAGAAGTGGAAATGATCATAAACATTCAAATTCAAATTCAAAATCTTTTGACTATAATAATCAACGGCAAAATAGGTTCATTCTAAATTTTTGATATTATTTTCAGTATCAAAGGATAACACAAATATAAATCACAGTGGAACAAAGACATTTTAGTGCAAATGTCAAAACAAAATTACAATAAACAGAAACAGCAAAGATTAACGAACAACCACATGCCTCTTCTCAAATATAATACAGAGATGAAAATAAATTACATATCTCGTAATACTTTTTACAATTTATTTTTCAGCAATGAAAAGAAAAAGAAAATATAAGTATGTATTTATGTATTCTAATTAGAATTTGAATTCAATTTTGTTGCATAAAATCCAAACGTGTAGCGTCATTCTCGATATATTTGTTAACAAAAGACAATGAAATTCTAGGGTATAGTATATAATTACAGTTAACAAAAATGATTGAATACGAATGTCCAATTACATTAAACAGAAATGGCCCCCGAAATTAAGTACAACCACATGCCTCTTCAGGAACATATGCTGTGGCGCATGAAGCTGGAATAATTATATCCAACCACTATTTCATTTGAGGAGTGTAGTTGAGGAACGCATAGTATCAACAAGCTAGGCCAATGATTGGTAGTGTGGTTGCTAAGCCCCGCCTCCCCATACGTCATATTGGTTTGACACTCTGAACAGCAGAGAGTAATCCAATCTGATCAGGATATATAGAAAGTCATTGTGGTGTAATCAAGCATTCGTATGGATGACAATCATGAATACCGCAGACAACATTCGATCTTTAGACAGTGAGTTTACGACCGCAAACGGAATGACTTCCCATATTTTGGAATATCCATCACTAACACTCCCTTCGGCTGAGGATGATGTCTTGCCCCTACCTTCTAGGTTGGCTCTGTTTTTCCTGGGTCACTGGTTTTCTAAAAGGGAGAAGAATGACGCGAAAAGTCTGACGAAGCCTTATAAAGAAAAAACCTACGGCACCGTGAACAAATCGGAAACTGATGAAGAGAAATGCGTAGGAGATCGATGGTCATCGATGGATGACGAAACGTCGCTAATGATCACATACGATGGGAATATGGACATCAGAAAAGACCATAATTCAATTCGCAAGCGACTAACAGGTCAGTACAAAAATGGTTTAGTTTAGTATGTATAATTAATATAACATTAGTCAACGTATAGATGTTCAAAAGGCAAATATAGATCATTCTACTTCTGCCATTGTGTACGTTGCGTAATTGTAAAATGCCAAAAGCAGAAACGTTTTGCTTATCGTATAACCAAAATAAATGATATTAAAAGCTTAGTGATATTAAGTATGAAACTTTTATTGTATGCTAAATAAATATGTATTTTCTAGGGGGCTAAATGTCTTCATGTTGGTATTACCCTTTTCTGCAAATCCTGACATGGATGTCATATAGCATATGGGTGTCATATAGCATATTTCATATAACGATCTCATTTTTGTTTTTAAACTATTTTTCTTCTTTAGGATGCTGTTGTTTAGACGTGCTCGGGATCGTATACCTCTTCCTTTCTTGTGGCATGATGATTTTCGACCTGGAGGCGTATGTGCGATCTTACTGGGGCGTCAAGGAGTACGCTCTCCATTTCGTCACGTATACCACCTTCATCGTCCAGCTCATGGTCGTACCTTTCTGGTGTCTCTATACGCGTATGAAAAACATCATGACCTGCAGTCGGATCCAACGGAGAGTTTCGACTATGTCTAGAGCTTTCATTGCACGTCGCATCAACGTCATACGTAGAGGGCGCTCCGAAGCGAAGATTCTGTCATGGTTTCCTTTCTTGTGCATCCTAGCGTTGCCCACGATGACGGGATGCTTTCGAATCTTGTACGACTACTTCTTTCGAGTCTGTAAGAGCGAAAGCATCCATGGTGAAGTAGGTCACTGGAATTCACTTCTTGGGTCGGTCATCTACGGATGCTTTTGTTATATCATATACCTGGAGCGCAGATCATTCGAAATCGAAGCACACCAGATATTTCGCTACGCCATAGAGCAGGCGCCGTACCAGAATGTCGACGCAGTGCTCAGTCGGATCCGTCACTTCAGCATACAGTATAAGATACTCCGGCGGCAAATCAGGGCGTGGATGGCGTTCACCATTGTGGTTTCAACATGGGGACTGACTTCTCACATCACATGGAATTACTTGGTGTTCAGCCAGAAGGATCTCCCCCCTGACGTTCTCCGAACCATTTACTTTCTCAATGCCCTGGTCACCACACAGAAGATCACCTTCATCGCTGTGCCTTACTTTGCCCTAGGTGGCCTCAACATGGATCATATCTGGAGGTACTTAAAGGAAGACATCACACATTGCAGGGAACACAAGTACAAGAAGTACTGGAAGGCTGTCATTATTTACGTCAAAGATATAAATAAGATGTTTTCAGGTATTCTGACACCTTCTATCATATCCACTGGTCTCGGCATCTATCTTGGATTGAACCTTACAAATAGTCAAGATATAGGCTTCTGGATCGGTCCAGCTACAGTCGGCTGTAATCTGACAAACCACACTGGTTAGTAGACCGCTGAAAATGTGTCCAACCTTTTGAAATCAACACGTTATCACTCAAGAAAATTTGAATAATATAAACTATGGAGAGAGGGAAAACAAAGGAAATATCCCTCACACAAAATTCTTGTTCATGGATTCATCAAGAACACATAACGTGATCAAACATATTTGTACTAGAAGAGCAACCTGATACTAATTTGTGACGTAAGAGTAAGGTATTCTTACTATCTTCCAGGCAAATACAAGTAGTATTGTAGTTATGATAGTTATCTCGATTATAACTGGTCTGTTAGGGCTACGAAGTCAGTGCACAGCTCTTCGTGAAATTATTGTCCCTTGGTATTTGGTGTGTGCGTGTGCGTGTGTGTATGTGTGTACTTACTTGAGTTTGTATTTGTATGTGTTGTATACGCTTTATCTCATTTCTCGTTATTGTCCCTAATTGGGTACACAAAGAAGTTGCAAAAATTTCATTTGAATTTATATGGAGGGGGATAGATCGAATTAAACGGGCAATAATGTATCAGGATTATGAGTTTGGAGGATTAAGAATTATTCATTTTGAAATGTCTGCTAAAATACAGCACATAATGTGTATAAAACGTCTTTTATGTGGAGAGAAAAATTTGGGATGGAAAAAGTTTGTGGGTGGTAGATTTAAAAAAAAATGTGATTATGATATAAAACAAAGATTAAGTTCGTTTTTAGATATCTATATTTATGGAAATGTTGCAAGCATGGCACGAGACAAATGATCTAAAATATTTGGATGGTCATATATGAATCCAATTATTTTTAATAATCGGAATATATGTATAAATAAAAGAACTATATTTGATAGATACTTGTTTAAAAAAGGGATTGTTCAATTGAATCACTTTATTGAGAAAGCTCATGTCAAGTCTTTTCAATATATTATGAACCTCGGTATGAAAGGTGATAATTTGCTTATGATTATTGATATTTATGATGCGATACCCAGGTTATGAAAGGATGATTCACGGTCAATACAATTCCTCGATTTTGATGGTACAAGCTATAATATTTATTTTCATATTTTAGGTTAAAAATACAATTTTTGGATGTGGGTTTAAGAACAACTTTTGGTTATTTTATAAAAGTACTAAAGCAAATGATGATTGGCAGGTAAGGGATTTGCCAAATAATTATGATTTTGTAGATCATTAAAACAAATATTTGTTAGACAAAGAATTACTATACTCATTAGAAAACAACGAGAGTTTGAATTTAGATTATTGCATAGAGCCGTATAAACTGATGATCATCTTCATAGTTTTGGTTTTGTCGGTGATAATTTATGTTTGTTTTATAAACAGGAAATAGAAAGATAGAAACATTTATTTTTATCCTGCGGGAGCATTCAAAGGCTATGGCAGGCTTAAGCACAAGTTTTTGAGTTAGATGAAATTAAAGATTTAGAATGGCGAGATATATTTTTGGGGTTGGCAGGTAGTTCATATAGAATACAAATCTGTAATACTATAATTTTCATGGTGAAGTATGTTATATTTATGTCAAGATCGGGGAGGGGGTGGGGTAATTATACCAACTTTAGAAAACATTATTTATTATAGGGATGAGGAAAAGAAAATAGCCATTGGAATGGGAAAGCTCGAATTACATGTTTTTAAGTGGGAGCAGCTTAGTGTTAACTAAGTTTTGTTTTCCTCTCCACCGTGAACTTGTTAATGAGTAACTCTATTTGGCAGTCTGGTTAACTTAGGTATTTAGTATATTTTTCTTAAATTGAGAATGTTAGCAGACATCCACTGAGTGAGTATCATGTGTATGATTGAGTGTGTGTGGGGTGGTGATGTGAGGAAGGAGCAGGCATTGTACCGGTAAAATAACCTCCAGATGTGTTCACGTTTTTTGTTTATACAAGTGAATAACATTTACAATTGACATATAAGTTATGTTTGAGTACTTATAAGTTTACTTTGTTGCTAAGTTATATATACTGCAAATCCTTTTTTGTTTAATATGTTTATGTATAAGCAATTAATATTGGAAAACGTTTATTTTATCTTATTCAATTGTATGTTTTTGTTTGTATTACACATTTGGAGGAGTACAAATACAAAATACAACAAATATGTGCGTGCGTGTGTGGATGTGTGTGTGTGCGCTAGCGAGTTGTTCTTTTTCCCTGGGGCCTTCAATTTACCAGCCTTTGGCTTCCATGTTAGCCTCAGCATTCCCAGAAGTTTTTTTCAAATTGTTTTCTTGTCTTGTTTTGTACAGTTGTAATGTAATATTTAATTAAACAAATTGAAACTTGCCATTTCTCGAAAAATATGGACAGATTTACGTAATTGTTAGCTCGATATGATCCCAGTCGTGTATTTGTATGATTATCAACCATGCCCTGCACATGTCCCTATGTCATAATGTTTTAGTTTACGTTTCGAAATGAAAAGATAAAATCTTAAATAAATGTAAGAAAAAAAAAGAAAAAAAACGAAAATTTTATATCTGATAGATTAAATAATACTGATGTAATAATTTGAACGTTAAGAAAATGCTCCATGTTTCTCAAGGACACTTTGAATTTATTATGAAATGTATATGCTGTTTTTTAAATTGTTTCGTGTCAATGTTATCGTAGGTACGCACAGTATTTAATTTCCATTACAGTGGTTATAGTTCCTGGTTGAGTCGACCGACACGGAGTGTTTTCCTTGTATACATGTGGTTTAATAATGGCAGTCATCATCATTCAATAGTATTGGTACTTGATTTTCATTGTTGTTCATGAAGTTGCAATAATTTTTTTTGTGTTCATGAAATGATTGTGACAATATGATTTATTCTTGATAGGTATAGTTATATCTTCTCAGAACCTTACAGATCAATCTTGATTACCTTGAGGATGTTATCGCCCTGACGTATAAGCTCGATGTCAATCGATGAGCAGTCCTCGGCAGCATTATAATTTATCTTTACCTGTTTGCATGTAATTGTATTTTTTTTATTTATAAAAAAAAGGATGATTGTATTTCTTTCTTTTGCTATTCATATGATGGCCAACAGGCATTATAAAACAAAGTTCAAAGAGTGCATTTTTTCTTCATTCAAGGGGAATTCCAAATAAAAGCTTTGCTTTCTTCTACACCTCTATTTCACCTCCTATTTTTTAAATATTTTTTTTACTACCTGTACTTAAGTGTCTCGTATAAATTGGGTTGTTGTGTTGTTGTTTTTTGCTTATCATTACACGTTGTTTCCTAACTTTGAAGATTTAGGTTGTTACATTTCACATTATGTTCCTTCATCTTTTGTGGATGTAATTAAGTGTTGTTTATGAAGTGATGTAAAAATATAAAATAAGCTAAAGTAACCTGAAACTGAAACGTACTGACTCTTCAATCTTTCAAATTTGCTTTTTAGAAACAATGATAAAGCGGAACTTGTAAGTGATTTGTTTGTTTATAGATAGTACTTAGATCTGAGACGCTGATGAGGAAGTATATTGCCTTACAATAAAATCAATAATTTATATACCTTCAAGGGTTTCCTCATAAAAATGCAGTTGTTCTATTTATGTATTTTTCAAGTACTATAGCGAGGAAACGTCGAGGTTAGGTTAATCAACTTAAAGTTGTTACACGTAAACATCACTATAGAGTTTAATTCCAAAAGGAGCTTAATCCATGTTTGTCACTTCGGAGAAAAAAGACATTGTTTACCAGATTTTGTACAGGCGTCTATGGAAAAGTGATAATAGTAGGTGCATTTTTTTCATAATTGCTCCAAAAATGTAGGTAAATAATTTTTGTGAAAGACGGGTACTTAAGTGAACAATGTTCTGATATCAATAACTCAATTTTCATAAAAAGTGGATTTAGCTCCTTTTGGAATCAAGCTCGTCTAGAATGGACAAAGAAACAACTTATAGTGAGATAAGAAAAATAAAAACTATATGTAACGTATGTTATAGATACAATTTTCTTTACAACTTAGGTTTCATCTGGTGCATGATGGGACTCATAGGCTAAATGCTGAAGCCTGAGATCTATGTAAACATATCTTCCGACTGTTCATATCAAAAGGTAAACAATGGAAAACATTGCATCTCTCTGATAGGACTTAAAATGAAGGTCCTTTGTGTACAAGAACCACAGCGTTTATATCGAGAACCCAAATATCTGTAATGATGAAAGGACATAGATTTATTATTATATTTTCATTACTTCTTGGCCGAAAAATAAACTGTACATTGTACTGCAGCCAATCAGACCGTTCTATATTTTTCGTGAAATCTAGTCCAAGTGGAGTGCAAAACGACCCTCATCGCTTCCAGAAGAAAATCAAAGAACATAGTATGTATCCTATAATACATTTTCTGTAGAATGGAGTGACATGTTTGGCAAATCATGGGGGAAATCACCCCTTAACCCGTTTCCCTGCGCAGCCCATTGTCTATCCCTCTCCACAAACAAACTTGCTAAATATCCATCGCTTCTAATATACTTTGTCTCACAATTTAGCAGCGGAAATGTTTCGATGTATTTCTTTTTTCCATGATACGATTTGACAGGAATATGCAACCTGGGAGCTAATTTGTTTTTGTTCATATTTGCATTTCACCAGTCTATAGACGACTCAGAATAAATGAAATCCTTCTCTCCTCCCCCCCCCCCTCTATCTCTCTCTCACTCTCCATCTCTTTCCTTCTTTGTATCGGTACTTGTATATCTCATTCCTCGCCTTCAACTTCCGTATCTGCAATTTACGCTGTTTCATTTTCTTTTCCAGCTGAGTTTCCTATTAAATTGACAAATTCCCCCACCCAAAGAGGATACCACTTAGATTATGAAACACGAAACCAACAAATCATTATTAATAGATCGCTTATTCCCAGACTAGTTGTTAAAGTAGTTGTTATTATTATCCGCTAAACCAATAGGATCTTTCAAGTGCAAAAATACCAGGCTCAAGTTCAAGTTCAAATGTTATACAAATATTGCTAAGTATATGAATTTGAATATTGTTTATTTTTCTTCATAATAAGTTTCAATTTAATTAAATTGTGTTTTTTAATATACACAAGACTATGTCATTGTTGTAACTTCCGGAGCCTATGACCTACAAGCATTGCTTTCTCTGTAGGCTCCATCATATTTCTTCCCTTATTTAACTTAGTCTTATGTATCATTCTTTTTTTGTTTGTATAAACGCATCCTAAATTGAGTTCAAAATGTAACATGCTAAATGTAATGATATACTATACAACATGTAAGAAATATGAAAATAAACTGAAACTGAAGTTTATTCAAACCAAATCAAACATAAACAATGGTACAAGATATAACAGCAAGGAACACAAGAATGATAGGTTTGGGACCCCAGTGTAGCACAGCTTGTGAACGGGGCCGGCCCTTTACACAGTAGACTATACAGTAGGTATATAATGGCTGGGAAGGATGAGGAGATATACCCATCAACACACTTACATTCTGGTATAAAGGTCAACAAAGAAAACTAATTCTGCGCCAGCGAAAAGAAAAATGTTCAACCAATCTTTTTATTTTTATTTTGAAGTATGAAAGTATCAAGTACTAAACTGGACAATTTGTCTTACACAAAATCACATATAACTTAGTGTTGGCTCACTCAGTAGAGCGTCCGCCTCACAACCGGGAGGTCGTGGGTTCGAACCCCGGCCACGTCATACCAAAAGACGTTAAAAGATGGGAGTTGCTGCTACCTTGTTTGGCATTCAACAATAAGGGACAGAGCAACGTCGATCTGGTGCTGCCCAGTGGCTGCCGGGCTCACGATTAATTGGGCAAAAAGAATTTTCGTTTCGGTTTAATAAAATTTGGAGTGAACTTTAAAAGATTATTATTATTATTTATCTAAAGCAACAATTTAATTATACGTTATTCATGTTAGTATCAAGTCAAGTCGACAGAGTTTAGGGTGAATTTTTAAGCTTCCTTATTTTTGTATAGAGACCGTCCAATCGATACAAAGTTCGCCATACCAGATACAATACGATTAAATGTCTTGATCTCGACCTACCGTTTATAAGCTTAAAGGCTGTGTAAGCGAACTTGTATTTAGCTTCTGACGTAAGCCTATTAAACATAACTGCGCACCTTCTTTGAAATTGTTAAAAACTTGATAACCTGACAAAATATAGTAAACGATCAAACAAAAACTTAATCACAACTCCTATTTTATTTTACCTTGTTAAATTGCCATTATATACATTCTATGCTTTTCTTTGTTTGCTAATTAAGCTTTTCACATTCATCTTATTTTGATTAAATAAATGTATATTGATACATGAAAAAAGAACATCCAGTTTAGTGTAACCATGTAGTAAACATATATTTATTTTCAGAGATCCACAATATTTGGTATTGGACTTGCCCATGCGTAAAAAACGATATTATTAGGGCAATGTTAACGAAGCAAAATAATAATCACT